CAGTGGTTAAGAGCTCGGCTGCTAACCAGAAAGTTGGCAGTTAGAGTCCACCAGCCGCTCGCTGGAAATCCTAAGGGGCAATTCTCCTCTGTGTTATAGGGTCGCTGTGAGTTGGAAATGACTCGATGGCAACGGGCTTTGGCTTGAGGTACATTCTTCAAGTGGTGCAACCATTCTCGCTATTGTTTTCCACATTATTCCATCACCGTTATCTTAAACTCACTGCTGCCTAAGCTACCCATCCAACCTTACGAGTTGCTGTTGTCAGTTTGATCCCACATACGTAATTCCTTAAAAAAGCATAATGCTCAAAGCAGACGTACACAAGCTATTTTTTGGTTCAAAGAAGACTTCAGGGGGTTGTTGTGATTTAAGAGAAGCTTGCAGACTAAGAAGAAAACCCTGGCATCTGCTGAAAAATCAGCCAACCAACCCTACGGATCACAACGGTCCAGTCAGCAATTGACATGAGGATGGTGTAGGACCGGGTAGCATTTCATTCCATCGGGCATGGGGTCCCCGTGAGTCGGGCACTGACTGGACAGCAGCTAACAACAACAACAACACTTTCGACACCAGAGCTTTATTTAATTGTTTTATCTTCTCTTTTCTAACACAGTTCTATCCGGTAACCAGCAGCAACTGTGAATAAGAGCAGAAGCCTTTGCCTTTTTTCCCCCAGTAGGAAGCAATACGAGGAGCCATGGTGGCACAACAGTTAAGCGCTCGCGGCTCACCAAAAGGTTGGCAGTTTGAACCCACCAGCTGCTCCATGGGAGAAAGACCTGGTGATTTGCTCCAGTAAAGATTACAGCCTTGGAAACCCTCTGGGGCAGTTCTCTTCCCTCACATGGGGTCACTAGGAGTGGGAATCCACTCGATGGCACTTAACAGGAAGCAACTCGGGGTAATGTACGTGTGGTAACTTACCGGGTCTAATAGAGAACAGAGGAGAGTGAAGACAAGTATTTTGGCAAAGGCTGTACCGAGCCATTGCCCGGCAAGGGCTCAGAATAGCTTCTGGCTTAGCCATGCTGCCAGCCACAAACTCCACAGGTTATGAAATACTTCATACTGTAGTTGTATGGGAGGAAATAAAGAGGAGAAAGCGATGTGTTGTAAAGGTGGTCTGACCAGGTATTGCCCATCAACTGGCTTAAAGAACCAGGACAATTCTGGACAATGTGGTTTTTTTATTTTATTTTTATTTTTTATTGTTGTAGTATAAGTGAAAGTTTACAACTCAAGTTAGTTTCTCATACAAAAATTTATATATACATTGTTATGTGACCGTAATTGCTCTCCCTGCACTGTGACAGCACACTCCTCCTTTCCATCCCTGATTTCCCGTGTCCATTCAAACAGCTCCTGACCCTCTCTGCCTTCTCATCTCGCCTCCGGACACAAGCTGCCCATTTAGCCTCATTTATCTGCTTGAGCTAAGAAGCACAGTCTTCACGAGTATCATTTTATGTCCCACAGTCCAGTCTAACCTTTGTCTGAAGATTGGCCTCGGGAATTGTTTTCGTTCTGGGTTGACCGAGAGTCTGGGGGCCATGCTTTCTGGGGTTCCTCCAGTCTCAGTCAGACCATTCAGTCTGGTCTTTTTACTAGAATTTGAGTCCTGCACTCCACCTCTCTTCTGCTCCGTCAGGGACTCTCAATTGTGTTCCCTGTCAGGGCGGTCATTGGTGGTAGCCGGGCACCATCTAGTTCTTCTGGTCTCAGGATGATGCAGTCTCTGGTTTATGTTGGCCAGTGTGTTTTACGGCAAAGAAGTGGAGGACAAAAACATTCCAATTGTGTTTTCCTCAGATTTGGGTAAACCTGGAGGGAAGCTGTTTTCTCAGTTTGACAACAAATAAAGCAAACACTTGGAAGAGTATTTTTCTTCCAATTAAGATGAAAGGAGCGTATACAAAGCATAATTACAGAGAATCTAGATAACACTGAAAATCTACTAGAATGCATTTTTACAAAGTGAAGGAATTTGTGTTGGAAGAGGGAGTCTCTAGTGGAGTCTGAGACAAACGATTCAAATGTCTTTTCATATTATTGAGCACCGAGGTTTCAAGCTGCACAGGGGGTGTGTGTGTGTGTGTGTGTATCTTACACCAAAGATGGAAATTTCAAAGAGGCCTCAGTTAAACAGGTGTAACGATTATACTACAAACGTGCCCTGTGGATTACTGTCGTGTAATTTTCTTCCTGGTATAATGTTCCCTCCTGAAAGCAAACAACTTCTAATACCAGATTCTTGAGTGTATCGTTGTTGGGTGCAGTCGAGTGAATTCCGACTCAAAGCAACCCCGTGTGACAGAGTAGAACTGCCCCATAGGGTTTCCTAGGCCGTAATCTTTACTGGAGCAGATCATCAGGACTTTCTCCTGAGTTGGTGCTGTATGGGTTCGAACCATCAACCTTTTAGTTAGCAGCTGAGTGCTTAACCCTTTGCGCCACCAGGGATCCTTAGTGCATCATTAACCTCTCCAAACACAAATGCATCCGCCATGTTTTATAGGTAATGGCCTGCCCCACGTTCTCTGTGTGACTTTTCTTGCCTGTGAGGCTAGTGGTGCGTGCAAACCATGGGCTCTAAGAAGCGTTCGTGAAACACCTATCCTTGAGCGCTGAGCACTGAGACCCAGCCTTCAAATCAGCACTAAAGTCTGTACTCAGAGACAGGAACGTTTTGGGTAGAACCCCAACCGGATGTTGTGTGAGCCTGCAACCACATGGAGCCGCTTGGACAAAGGGGCATCTAAACTGCTTTGCGGCAAGCTCAAAACCCCACAGCTGGAGGGTTAGAAGCTGTTCGTTTACTCTGTTCACAAGAGGTTTAAAGAAAGTTTAACAACAGCCGAAAACTGACTTGTAATTGGTAACTGATGGGCTGTGCTTGAGCGTTGTTAGTTGCCAAGTCGACTCCGACTCACGGCGATCACACGAGCACAGAGTAAAACTGTGTGCTCCATAGAGTTTTCAAGACGGTGATCTTTCGGAAGTAGATTTCCAGGCCTTACTTCTGAGGCACCTCTGCGTGGGTTCAAACTGCCAACCTTTTGGTTAGTAGCCTAGCACTTAGCCATTTGCACCACCCATGGACTTTGTGTTTGTTAGGTTCTTTTGAGTCAATTCTGACTCGTAGCGACCCCATGTGACAGAGTAGAACCACCCCATGGGGTTTCCTAGGCTGTAATCTTCACTGAAGCGGATCGCTAGGTCTTTCTCCCAAAGAGCCGCTGGGTGGGTTTGAACCTCCAACCTTTTGGTTAGCAGCTGAGCTCTTAACGGTTGTGCCACCAGGCCCCTTACAGTTCACGAGTCACCAGCATATTTATAATCTTTACAAGGCAAATGCAAAGGCGTGGGGGCCTCGGTAATCATCCGGCTGCAGCAAATCCTATTTATCGTTCTGTTACCGCAAAAGCTGAACTGAAGTCGACTTTTCCTTCCCGTCTCCCTCATACTTAGAGAGCCGCCGGCTGAGCCTCTCTCAGTGACAGTACCCAGTGCTTGCTTCATGTGGCCAGTCCCTGGGGGGCTGTAATTGCAGAAGTGTGACCTGGCGGTTATGTCACACGGCCTGGAAACTGCTGGGGCATCAGCGTGCTTCCTGCCAGACGACCTTTGCAGCTGAAGCCCCCCGGGGCCCATCTGCAGCCCCATCTGTGTGTGCCCCAGACCCTGATGTTCGCGGAGCGTGATGGCGTTGTCTGCTGGCAACATCGAGTCCAAACTCGGGACCCTGAGCCTTTCCTCTGCCAGCATGTCATTTTCCTGTTCGTGGAGTGGCTTGATCAGGTGTTAAGGGCAAGATTTTTATTCATTCAAGGGAAAGATTAGTCCAAAGGACTAATGGACCACAACTACCACGGCCTCCACCAGACAGAGTCCAGCACAACTAGATGGTGCCCGGCTACCACCACTGACTGCTCTGACAGGGATCCCAATAGAGGGTCCAGGGCAGAACTGGGGATAAATGTAGAACAAAATTCTAACTCACAAAGAAAGGCCGGGCTTACTGGCCTGGCAGAGACTGGAGAAACCCAGAGACTGTGGCCCCCAGACACCCTTTTAGCTCAGTAATGAAGTCACTCCCAAGGGTCACCCTGCAGCCAAAGATTAGACAGCCCATAAAACAAACAAGAATACATGTAGCTCAACTATATATATGAGACTAAGCGGGCACACCAGCCCAGGGGCAAGGATGAGAAGGCGGGGGTGGCGGGGTGAGGAAAGCGGGACGAATGGAAATTGGGAACCCAAGGTGGAGAATGGGAGAGTGTTGACACGTTGCAAGATTGGCAACCGATGTCACAAAACAATGTGTATTAATTGTTTTAATGAGAAACTAATTTGCTCTGTAAACCTTCATCTAAAACACAATAAAAAAAAAGATTTTTATTCATTCATTCATTATTTATTTATTGTTAATCGTGGTGAAAATAGACATAACAAAACATACACCATCTCAACAATTTCTGCGGGTACGATTCAGTGACATTGATTACGTTCAGATTGTGCAGCCATTCTTGCTGTCCTTTCCCAAATCATTCCACAACCAGTAACATAAACTTGAGGAGCCCTGGTAGTGCAAATGGTTAAGCGCTTGGTCGCTAACCAAAAGGTTGGTGGTTCGAACCCACCCAGTGGTTCCGAAGGAGAACGACCTGACGATCTGTTTCTGTAAAGATTATAACCTAGAAGAGCCTATGGGGCAGTTCTACCCTGCTATGAGTCGGAATTGACGCGATGGCACCCAGCAACAACATAAACTCATGCCCCTCTAAGGAGAACCTCCCCCTTTCCCTCTCTCTCCCACCCCTGGTGACCACTGATAACCTTTGGTTTCTCTGCATCTGCTTATTTCGTATAAGCGAGACCAGATCATACAGTATTTGTCCTTTTGCAACTGACTTATTTCACTCCGCGCGGTGTTTTCAAGGCTCACCCATGTGGCATGTATCAGGACTTTGTTTCTTCTTATGGCTGAGTAAAAAAATATGGAACGCGTTATGAATTTGCATGTCATCCTTCACAGGGCCCTGCTAATCTTCTCTGTGACATTCCAATTTTAGTATATGTGCTGCAGAAGCGAGCACTATTTTTGTTTTTGTAAAAAGAACTGTTAGGGTTTTTTTGTTGTTGTTGCTGGGTACCCTCAAATTGATTCCACTCATAGTGACCCTATGTGATAAGAGTAGAACTGCCTCATAGGGTTTTCCAGGCTGTAATCTTTACGGGAGCAGATCACCAGGTCTTTCTTCCACAGAGCTGCTGGGTGGATTTGAACCGCCAGCCTTTTGGTTACCAGCTGAGTGCTTAACCATTTGCGCCACCAGGGCTCCTTGTTAGTTTTTTTTAGTAGGAGACATTTTCTATTAGCTCAGAGCACATTTCCTACTACCAAGATAAGCAATATCTATACGAGGATGCAGGCCTTCTTGCCCAGTTTAATCTTTGGGAATAGAGGCCTTACGTCACGGCTTTCGTGGCTGAGGGGACTCGGACTGAACATGACCTTGGTGGTTGAGGACATGGGTGGTGGAGACGCTCACATCTGGTGTGGTACACATCTCAAACCTCAGTTTCCTAGCTGTAAAATGAGGTTGTTATGAGGAGTAGGTGAGATAAGGTACATAAATATTGATAGCTAATATTTTTGTCCACCACTGTCTTTCAGGTTGTCATTCTGGGGTGGCTTGCATGTTGCTGTGATGCTGGAAGCTATGCCAGCAGTATTTCAAATAGCAGCAGGGCCACCTGTGGTGGACAGGTTTCAGCAGAGCTTCCAGACTAAGACAGGCCAGAAAGAAAGGCCTGGTGATCTGCTTTCCAAAATTAGCCAATGAAAACCCTGTGGATGACAACAGAACATTGTCTGATATGGTGCTGGAAGATGAGCCCTCTAGGTTGGAAGGCACTCAAAATACACAGTGGGTGCAGCGATGGACTGGAGCATGCCAACGATGGTGAAGATGGTGAAGGACAGGGCAACATTTCATTCTGCTGTACACGAGATCGCCATGAGTTGGGGCAATTCAATAGCAACTAACAACAACACTTGTGTAGCTCTCCCTACATCCCAGGCACTGTTCTTTGGTTAATTTGTCTACTGCTCAGAGCCATCCTATGAGGAAAGTACTATTATTATCATCCCTATTTTACAGATAGGAAATGGAGGCCCTGAAAGGTTAGTAACTTGCCCACGGTCACGCAACTACTAAGTGGCAGGTCTGGGATTTGAGCCCATGCTCTTAACGATGGAGCCAATGCTTTTACTCATGATGCTAACCTGCCTTTTGTAAGCCAGTTGGTCGGTGACATGCACCTGGTAGATCTCAGTCAGTGTTGGAAGGGGGTACAGAATGTACTTCCCAGGCCAGCGCATGTTTCCCCTCTCTGCACGCTAGGCTGAGAGGCACGGGTGGCCCTTCCCACTGTCCACTTATCACAGGCTCAGTTCTTTCTCTGTGACCGTAGGAGGTTGGGGCAACCAGAATTCTGGCAGGGTGTCAAGCCTGTTGTTTGCATCGGGACAGGTAAGATGCCATTGGGCTGCTGTTAAGTTGGGCCAAGCCGGTGGTTGGACTCTTGAGATCTCGGGGGGAGTCAAATGGGGGGACATCAGGGTAGGGCTGTGGCAAGGGAGGGGACGATAGAGCTGTGTGTGTGTGTTGTGTGTTGAGGTGACTGGGGAACCTCGGGTGACTTTAGGTCCTGGGAAAGGGGCCTGGGTCTCGGCCAGTGTCTCAGGTCCGTCTGGAGACTGAGAAGGATCATCAGGGCTAAAGGCCAGGAGGCCATGCAAACCCTCCCCTCCCCCACTCGTCTGTTTCAGGGACTATGGGAGATGTCTGAATAGTAAAGAGGGGCCCCCAGGATGAGACTCTGTGTACATGTTTGGGGGTGACGGTGACTTCTGGCACTTTTTCTAGAAGGCCAGAGGTGCTAACACACCTCTGCTGAAGCTTGCTTGAGATTGTCACTCTATAGGCTACCCATTGCCGTTGAGTCGATTCTGACTCATAGCAACCCCATGTGACAGAGTAGAACTGCCCCCATAGAGTTTTCTAGGCTGTTACCTTTATGGGAGCAGATCGCCAGGTCTTTCTCCAGTGGAGCTGCTGGTGAGTTTGAACTGTCAACCTTACAGTTAGCAGCCAAGTGCTTAACCTTTGCGCCACCAGGGCCCCTTTGTAGGTAATTCTGTTCTGTGATTGGCTGAACACTGTTTTAGGGGCTGGACAATCAGAGATGAAAAACACAGCCCCTGCCCTCAAGGAGGAGCCCTGGTGGCACAGTAGTTAAGCGTTTGGCTGCTATTCAAAAACTCAGCAGTTGGAATCCACCAGCCGCTCTTTGGAAACCCTGTGGAGCAGTTCTACTCTGTCCTATAGGGTTGCTGTGAGTCGGAATCGACTCGACAGCAATGTTTTCTTTTTTTTTTTTTTAAATGGGCCCTCAAGGAGCTCACACTTATTGGAAGAAACAAACATATAAGCAGATATTACAAATCAATAGCGAATATACACCACGGACTGCCAGAAGAACAAACAAATTAGATTTAGAAGAAATACAACAAGAATGCTCCTTAGAAGCAAGGATGACGAGACTTCGTCTTGCTTACATTGGACGCGTCATCGGGAAAGATCAATCACTAGACAAGGGCATCGTGGTTGGTAAAGTAGAGGATCAGTGAAAACGAGGGAAACCCTCCGAGAGATGAATTGACACAATAGCCACAGCAGTGGGCTCAAACATGCCAGAGATCATGAAGATGGCGCAGGATTGGGCAATGTTTCCTTCTGTTATACACAACGTCGCCATGGTCGGAGTTGACTTGATGGCAGCTGCCAACAAAAAAACCCATTTCCCTTAAGTCAATTCCAACTCATAGCAACCCTATAGGACAGAGTAGAACTGCCCCATAAGGTTTCCAAGGAGCGGCCGGTGAATTCAAACTGCTCACCTTTTGGTTAGCAGCCAAATGCTTAACCACTGCACCACCAGGGCTCTGTATAATAACAACTTAAATCAATGCGGTATTTGGAGATAAGCACGGGAAATCATGGGAGCCTTGGGAAGGGCAGCTAACCCCGGGAAGGCAAGAGGTGGCATCATGGAAGTCTGGTGATACCTGCTGAGTGTCAGCCAGCAAAGTTCAAAGGAATTGGAAGCTTGGTCAGATATAGGTAACAGGGAGGCAAGAGATGAATGGTTGTGTCTTGATGTTGTTGTTAGCAGCCCTTGAGTCGATTTTCAACTCACAGCGACCCCATGTGATGGAGTAGAACTGCCCCATTGAGTTTTCTAGGCTGTAATCTTTACGGAAGCAGATCGCCAGGTCTTTCTCTCGTGGAGCCACTGGGTGGGTTTGAACCACCAAGCTTTCGGTTAGCAGCCGAGCACTTAACCGTGGGCAGGGAGAGGTAAGGAATAAAGATGCGGAAGTAGGCCAGGGCCTGAGATGAAGGGCTACGTGTAATAGATAAGGGAGCTTGGGTTTTATTTGACTGTCCAGCAAGGATGACGCCATCAATGTCTGAGTTGCTGCGTAGCTAGATCCCTCTGACAGCAACATGGCGGTTAGAGTGGTGGGGAAGAGGCTGAGCCAGAGAGAGTTGTTGCGGGAATCTGGATGAGATGGTTAGGGCGGAGCAAGAACTGTCTGCTGTCGCAGGAGAGCCAAGTAAAGAAAACAGGCAAGGCTGGATGTTTGGTTAGTTATGGGGTGAGGAGCTGGAGGAGAAAGAATGAGGCTGGCTCCCAGGTGTGTAACTTGGGTGACTGGACTGGAGGGCTGGTTGTAGCACTCCCTGAGTCCGAAATGATAAGAGAGAAATCTGGTTTCAACTAGGAGAAGATGAGTCAGTTTTGAAAGTGCCAAGTTTGCCTGATGGGTATTTAGGTAGAGAGGTTTAGAGGCAGTTCCAGAGGCCTAAGCTAAAGTCTCACCACCCGTCTGTCAGTTTGTCACACCGTGGTGGCTTGCATGTTGCTATGATGCCGGGAGCTATGCCACCAGTATTTCAAATACCAGCAGGGTCACCCGTGGTGGACAGGTGGACAGAGCTTCCAGACTAAGACAGACTAGGAAGAAAGGTCTGGTGATCTACTTCCTAAAATTAGCCAATGAAAACCTTTGGATTACAACAGAACATTGTCTGACTCACTTGCTTTGGATATGTCATCAGCAGGGATCGGTCGCTGGACGAGGATGTCATGTTTGGCGAAGCAGAGGGCCAGCGAGGGAGAGGGAGACCCTTGGTGAGATGAACTGGCGCAATAGCAGCAACGATGGACTCAGACATGCTGTCGATTGTGAGGTTGATGCAAAACTGGGCAATGTTTTGTTCTATTGGACATGGAGTCGCCATGAGTCAGAATCAACTCCAGGGAAGCTATCAACCACAGGCTAAAGTCAGCGGCATCTAGTGGATTGTAGAACCTTGGAGGAGAGATGGGTTCACGGGGAAAGCGTGTGGAAGAAGCAGACCAGTGGTCCCAGAATGGGGCTTCAGCCTGCCAGCAGCTGAGGCGGGGGCGGGGCAGCTCAAGGCCTCCACGTTGCTGATGAGGTGAGGCCTCTGTTGAGGATCCCGTTCCAGTGGGCAGAGGTGTTGTGGCCTAGACTGGCTTTGCAGGAGAACCAGACTCAGCAGGCTGCCTTAAGGGCTTGGGACATTGTGTCCAAGGTCAGCTCTCTTGCCAGCTGGGGAGCAGCGTGGGCTTAGAAAGGAGACCTGAGTCACCGCCCCCTACTGGCGAGGGGGATGCTTTACAACTGGAACATTTAAACCACTGGTGAGACACTGTTGAAGAACCTTTTCTGTTTACTGGGGTTTGGGGCAGAGGTTCTTAAGCAGGTGAAGGGCCAGAATCACCTGTGAGGGCTTTTCGGAGGTTCCCCCAAGCCATAAGAGGCAGACTCAGGAGTTGTTCTGAGGGGAGGTGGGAGTGTGGGTGTTATTTTGAAAACCAAAAACCAAACCTCTTTGTGTCGGGTCTATTCCGACTCATAGTGACCTTATAGGACAGAGTAGAACTGCCCTGGTGGTGCAGTGGTTAAGAGCTACGACTGCTAACCAAACGGCCGGCA